TACTCGCCTAATACTACCTTGGGGCTCATTGGTGGTGGGTCTCGGGCATGGCTGAAAGATGACGGCCAATAAGCCCGAGAATGACCATTCTAGTCTCCTTTTTCTTTGTCGATGATGATCCTCCGTTCAGTAGACATACTCTCGTTATGGGGGTGTTTTCCTGGGGGTGGTGTCAAATTTTTAAATTATAAGTTTCTCAAACAAGGAACAAAATTACTGTTTGTTATGAAAAAATAGTCTGATCAACTTTTTTTACGGGAAAATAGGAAATAATTATAAAATCTTGCCACAATACTCTTAGGTTTAAGTACCAACATATTATTTATTAGGTAAAAGATTTGAAAATGCATGAAAACACTTCAGGCGCGTATAGTCCAAAAGGGATGATTGAGTATCTAGAGCTGGCCAGAACTCCAGTTTGTTAGACTGTCTAACGAATAGCAAGTAAACCAAAAAGGACAATTTGGCCTTCTTGCCATAACTTCCAGTTAGTCCAACACTTAGAGCTCCCCTTTTTAGTAAATCCTGCTGACATGTTTTGGATACTAATAGTCATCATCATCATCATCATCATCATCATCATCATCATCATCATCATCATCATCATCATCACCATCATCAACATCATCATCATCATCATCATCATCATCATCATCATCATCGGTCCTTCCTACCTTTTCCTTCTCGCATGCATCAGTGAACTGTCTGACCTAGTACATCATCATCATCATCATATTATTATTATTATTATTATTATTATTATTATTATGTCCTCCTCATCATCATCATCATCATCATCATCATACTCATCATCATTATCATCACCACCACCACCACCACCACCACCACCACCACCACCACCACCACCACCAAAATCCCACCAAAATCCATAATCATGTTTTGCGGGGGCTTGCATGCTACTGGTTTGCACTTGTCTCCATGCAGAACATTTTCGCCTAGACTAATACTCTTGTCAAGTTTCACTCCATCTATGCCGAAAAATAAGCTCGACGCATGATTCACAGTGGGCCGGAGGGTTACTTTATTCTCTCGACTTGGTTTTCACGTTTTCACGTAGCATAAAAAGAGGAATAATGTGAGAACTGATAGCTTTTTCGACTGCAAAACTCCCTGGGTAAAAATCTATGAAAACGCTTGGAGAAAAACCTATGAGTTTTCTATCATTTTAAAGCCTCAAAAGTTTATGTAAGTGTAGAAAAATCGCCATTCCAGTTGGTATACTAGTAAATAAGTGCTAGATAGAAGGTAAAAAGGTTTTTGACAGAAGCTCAACCGACAGTTACAATTCTTGCTTGGTCCAAAAAGGTAGCTTTTAAGAAAGGGGCTTGGGTGGGGTTATTCCTTCGCTTTTGAGAGCCATTAGCCCAGAAACCGTCCCTTTTAATGCAGTGTTTATAAATGATAAAGATTGTATTCGACTGCGTCAGCATTCTGATGCTCCAATGCCAGAGATATTTCAACTGTACACTCCACACCGTTTCTTAACTGATTAAAGCAGTGGAGGCAGTCTTGGGGCATATCTTTGCACATATCTTACTTGAGTTCGCATAAATGGGCGAAGAGCCGTTGATGGAAATTTGCAAACAAAACGAAATGAACCTAGTCGACGCAAACCCTGTGTTCGTACTTTTCTGGTTACCGTATGACAACAGGGAGGCCAAAGTAACACTAATAAGAAAATTTTGCGAAATATCCTTCCACTTCTGGTTCCCCTCAAAAACATGGCATATTTGCCGCAGTAAGTGACAGTAGTTAGAAAATTAGTTTTTAAAAAAATGTTACGCTCACTGACAAGCTGACGCGGGAATTTCTAACCTACTTAAGGTGTCGTTTTGGGAAACACGAAAATTTTTTATTAACTGCTCGGTGGATTAATGCGATATTATGCAACTGTCTGCCTGGAGAAAAAGCCAAGTAATTGGAAACACGTTAAGTTTTGTGTTAGATGGATATGATGTGGGGTCCGCTGTTTAATTAAGAAAGTCGTGTTACTTTGAGGGGAAAAATAAGGCGTTGAAGAAGAAGATGAAACTTTAAAAATCACCATTGGAATACAGATCGCCTTTTTTTGAGGTGGTGTTATGACGCACATGGTTGGCGGCTTTCAGCAGAAAATGAACCGTAGCAGCATGAAAACTGACCTCAAAAATGGTAACTTCATGTTTCTACGGAAGGTTCAATCTTGCGTTGTGTGCTGCAGGCAAAAACAAAGTACACATGGACCCGTTACTTCCTTTTCTTCTTCTTCTTTAGACCTGTGACCTGACGATGAATATTTTAAATTACCGCGTGATTGGGTTAATGACCGAATTATTTACGTGTGTCCTAACAAAGCCGACCTTCTAGGTCAAAATATCACGAGGACAAGAAAACCAAGGTGGTTGCTTTTTGTGCAAAGCAAACCGTGGCCACTGGACACAAACAGTAAACGGCTGTCAAAATTGCCGTGACCATATGTCTGGTATTATTTTTAATCACCTGAGTGGTAAAGAGGAGCAGGGCTGCTCCCGGAAGGTCAATGCGGCTTTCGACGACACCGCGTAACAACCGGCATTATTTTCGGCGCTCGCGAGTTACAAGAACGAAACCACCTGCACCCTCCCTTCGTGGATCTGACGAAAGCCTTTGACCTGGTGAATCGCAACG